CACACACACACACACATCTGCACGTACCTGGGAGAACTTCAGCTTCCTGGCACACAGTCTACCCAGAACAAAACAGGCACGTCGGTGGGCCCAGTGCATGCCCATTCTCTTGGCACACTCCCTGATGCTCTCAAGCTGTCCCGACAACTCGTCCTCATTCTTACCGTTGAATGTCGTCCACAGGAAGGAACACTGTAGGTCATACAGGGGCAGGAAATCCTCCTGGCAGCAACAACAAACAAGAGGTTTTAGATTTTATTTAAGCTAAGTATAGGAAAAAATAAGTTTACAAATCTTATGTACAGGTTCAACTGAACTAATTCTCTGTACTGAAATATGGAGCTTGGTGAAACTTCAAAGAAGTGTTCCCATGCACAGATGTCTTATGTGTTCTGTTACAGCAGGCTCTTTGGCAGCCTTTTAGAGCACAGGAAGTTGTGCTCATGTGATGTTTAATGGATGCCGATGACTTGCTGTTCTATATTTACTGATGAAATGGTTGGTCCATTTCAAGAATTTTGATTAAGAAAGTTCTACATTTCCAGATTTTTGTTAATGTTTTACCTTACTCCTTGCTTAAAGACGCACTTGGTGGCTCTGAAATCAAGCAGTGAATGGGTTAATTGTGACTCCTCTGACCTGGAAGTGTTCCTGGTTGAGCAGAGTCAGTGTGGGATCACTGGGCTCAGACTCTTCTCCATCCCAGCTGGTCTCTTCCAAGTAGGGAGGTGGATCCTCCTGGAACTCGTCCAGACCTCTGAACGTCTCATCCACGTTGAAAGATAAGTGTTCTCCCTCTTGTTGCAGAGGATTGTAAGAATGATGAAAGGAAGCGCRTGGAGAGGTGATGGAGGTACGAGGAGAGGACTGGTAGATGGTTGTCCCTTCACTCCTCTCTGACATGAGGCTCTGGCGAGTGTTCAAAAAGCACGCTTGATCTGTGAAGAACACAGATGAACTTGTATTGAAGAAAACAAATAAACTGAAACCTTTAAAACTACTTCTGAACTACTACTTTTGAACATTACCATGTTTTGGATGACCCAGGATGTACATAAAGTCAGTCTTATCCAGTCGATCTGGAAGCACACAAGTAGAAGATTTAGTGTTCATTTGTCTGAAGCCATASTTCAGAGCTTTGGGCTCTGTGGAAGTTGTAAACAGATAATATCTTACTATTTTTTAGATAACTTTTTGAACAATCTCAATTAAAAAAAATAGAGTTTAATTCTGACCTGTTTAGCTAATGTCAAACCTGAGTAAGGCCAGGAACAAAGTGGAATTCTGACATCTTAAAACAAAATTAATCTTATTTGTAGTGATGTGTAGAAGGATACTAAAAATATTGATACCACCGACACCAGATCTTAATGCTCTAAAATCCATTTTAAAGTAAACATATCAATACTTCAGTCATTTCAGATAGTGTATATAATTAATAGGAACATAGTAGAAAGTAATTAGGGGTCCAAGCCCGAGGAAGCAGGGTAACGC